ACCACTACTACCACTACTACTACTGCTACTACTACTACTTCTGCTGCTAGTACTACCACTACTACTACTACTACTACTACTACTACTACGACTACTACTACTACTACTACTACTACTGCCACCACTACCACTATGTACTACGTACCACCAACACTGCTACCACCATTGCTACCACTTGTTCTACTTTTGCTTCTACTCCCCTTCCTCCTCCTGATGCGACTGCCATGACGAGCAAAACTACAATACGGGACAGGCAAGCTGACGTTGAAGTTGGTGTGACTAAGCGGCTGCAGCTTGTAATACGAACTACAGTACCTAACTTTAGCCTAAGCCAACGTGTAAGTAAAAGTCCGAATTTATGTCGTACTTGCTACCTGGGATCACATTCTGCCGGCTTACGGCTCCAGGGTTTCCGCCCCACGTGGAACACCAATTTACGAAGCTACGATTAGGGTGTAGGGTTTACCGCTTGGGGTTAAGGGGGTCCCGGAAGTTTGAGAATAAACCTTGGAAGTCCGACGTTTGGACATCTTCAACCCGACGACACAAGCGCTCAACGCGAAGAAAGCATCCTCTCCTAATGTGTCCTGTATTGGGCTTCGGCCTAAAGGTGGCGCTGTCCGACTTTCAAGAAGCTTGTGCCCTGTCAAGCCGCGATCTCAATCCTGCGCCCCGGGCCTGCCTGTTCGGCCATCGGAAAAAGACCAAGAACCAGTCGGGTGGAGTAAGGACGCCTGGGACGCAGGAGTCTGGGGGAGCCCTGGCTCGAGGATCCCACTGTTTCGAGCCATAAACTCTTCACAAACAGCCAGGGGCCGACCCAAAGCCGGAAAACAGGGAGAAGCAACAGAAAACTGAACCCACCCGAACCAACTTTGGAGCCCCAACACCTTCTAAACCCTAAACCCTAGCTAAACCCGAGCTGGCTGAGCCCCAAACATCTCCAGCGTTGTGAACCCAGCCTCGGTGCGGAGGATTTCTGCGTTTGGAGCGGATCTTCGGGTTCTAGGGTTTGGGTTTAGGGTT